CACAATTTTTATCCGTTTTTAAAAACCGCTCAAACATATCACCACTATACCGTAATGACAGATGAGTTAATTTCGTGAAAATTGGACCGAACTGCTCGACACAATGGCCGCTCTTCGTACGCGAGGTGTGTAAAGCTGTAGACTAATACCAAGGTTGTGGACACTGTAGATGTCACAATTTGTATCTGATTTGGATGAAACTTGAAATGTATGTTTATATCCCAAGAATCTCGTACGCAAAGGGTATAAACGTATGTAATACCAAGGTTGTGGAAACTCTAGAGGTCACGATATTTATCTGATTTGGATGAAACTTAAAATGTATGTGTATAATCCAAAGATCTCGATTCCTTTTGATATTCACGCATATCGGATCGTAACTTCCTGGATTATGGCCCCTGATTGTATGAAAACCCGTGTTGTTAGCTCGTGGTTCCTAGTGGTCACAATTTTTATCCGATTTTATGTACCCGCTTAAATATATCACCGTTACACCATAATGACGGTTGAGTTCGAATTTCGTGAAAATCGGACATGTAGTGTAAAAGAATATATTATCAAAGTTGTGGATCCTCTATAGATGTCACAATTTTTATTCGATTTTGATGAAACTTGAAATACATTTTTATATCTCGATTCCTTTCGATATTCCCGCATATTGAACTGTAACTTCCTGGATTATGTTCCCTGATTGTACGAAAAATCACGCTTTTTGCTTGTGGATCTTCTGTGATCGCAATTTTTATGCGATTTTCATGAAACTTAAAATATATGTTTATATCCCAAAGACCCGGGTTCATTCGATACTTGTGCATAACTTCCTGGATTATGGTCTTTGCCTGTATGAAAAATTCCGTTTTGTTTAGCTTGTTCTCATAGGCCTACATGTCGGCTTATTTTAATTTTCAGGAACAGTTTGTATTGGGCTAAATATGATCTTGGCGATTTTGACTATGTTCAGTAAAGTGCTCCCAGTGTTATTGTCCCTGAATTCTGAATGTCTTATTAGAGTTCCCACAGCGTAGCTGCGTGGAAGTTTGTTATCATGCCTGGCTAACTATTTCTGTGATTAAATTTAAGTGACAAACTTTTTCAAAAATACTATGGGCCGATTGTTTTGCCTAGTGGGACATTTTTTTCGGGAAAATAGACCGGTTTGCCGGTGTCTCTAACACATTTATTCAAACCAAAGGGGCCGGTTTGCCGAAGTCTCATATAGTCCAGCAGAACTATGGCTGAACCTGGAAATTGTATACAAAGTTTTTTATGGTTGATTTTATTGGAGTAGGATGTCCTCTTTTAGAATCTGCCGGTTGAACCTGGGTCACCCTTGAGCATTTTGATAAATTCAACATGGCGTCTAAGACGGCTGCCATTTCAAATAATTCCCTATAACTCCCATAGTATTTAGTCTAGAATGATAATTTTGGTGTTTATGGGGTCAAGGAATACACTGAAATCGTTTATTATGTTGGGGGGGGGGGGGGGTGATTAGATGATAGTAAAATCAAACATGCCAGAAAATAGACCGGTTTGCCGGAGTCTCTAGCACATTCAATCAAACCAAAGGGGCCGGTTTGCCGAAGTCTCTTATAGTCCAGCAGAACTACGGCTGAACCTGGAAATTGTATACAAAGGTTTTTTTTATGATTGATTTTATTAGAGTAGGGTGTCCTCTTTCAGAATCTGCCGGGCATAGACGTACGAGCTGGGGCGGCCGCCCCCCTCCCCATTTTGGGCACCAAATGCTGGGAAAATTTGGGTACACAATTGTACTTTGTAAAAGTTGTATGAAATAATATTGTGTTCTTGAATGTGTCCAATTTAACAGAGAATTTATTATTATTATGTAACATACTAAGAACCTAACTACATTTTTTGGGCACCAACCACCACCGCCCCCCCCCCCCCAGTCAAAAATTTTCCCCTACGCCTATGCTGCCGGGTGAACCTTGGTCACCCTTGAGCATTTTGAGAAATTCAACATGGTGTCTAAGACGGCTGCCATTTCAAATAATTCCCTATAACTCCCATAGTATTTAGTCTAGAATGATAATTTTGGTGTTTCTGGGGTGAAGGAATACACTGAAATCGTTCATTATGTTTCGGGGGGAGGGGGGGGGGGGTGATTAGATGGTAGTAAAATCAGACGATAACACCACATACATCCCTATCAGGGGCCCCAAGAACACATGGGTCAGTCCTGAAAAGGGAGGCATAATAATCTGTTTGTTAAACATCTAAAAAAAAAACAAATTCTACCCGAAAAACACGAACATAACCTCCACAAAACTAGGTAATATCCAGTTTTACCCTTTGTTTTCTGGCTGCAGCCCGTGACAGCACAAGCGCAAAAATCTATACTAATATTTGTGACTGTCGGTTGTCTGTCTGTTCGGGGTTGGCATCTGAAATTTGGGGTATACGGGTAGCTCGTACCGGGGAGTAACATAGGCCAGATGGCGTTAGACTACCACTTCCGGTTTCGGGGTTATGACCCCCGAGCGAAGCCGGGCATTCTTCTAGTACTGTATATTCTAGGCCATCTTCAGTGCAGCTACAAGCACATGTACTACATGAGCTGTCACTCTTGCATACACATCTGATGAGCCACTTGGCAGACCCCGGAGCAAGTTGACCGGTTGTAATGTTTTCAATTTAGTGCCCCCCCCCCCCACCGCCCAGCAATACAGTTCCGTCGGATTACGATCTTCTAGTCAACGCCACACAATAGCTTTGTGATGACATATTTTTACGTTCCCTACAAATGCATCATTCGTTGGTGCAAGACTGCATGGTTTAGGCGGGGATGATTACGATACATTTCCAGTCGTGGATGCCGATACCCCGCAGTGTGTTTCAGGCATCGACTTGCAAGAGCTCTGTCCTTAACAATCTTACCGTGGAATTGCTAATCGAGAAAAGAACAACCGTTGACATTGGTCAAACTACGGAGAAACATACGTCAGTTGTCATTGAAATCCTGCCAGCTTATGCTCTTACAGGGTGTGACACGGTTACATGCGGGGACGTTGTGGGGAAAGGAACAGCTTGGAAAATGGTGAGAGCTTGATTGTATTCTTTCTCACTCGTCCGAGTAATTTACACTCTAATTGAATCATTGCTTATTGCCTGGAGGCGGGGCATAAAATGGGCACAAAACCAGACCCAACTTTCTAGAGTAAAATTTTGCGTAGAATACGATGCCGAGTGGTAATGACTGTGCATTCACTTTCAGTGCAAATGACCCCATTTGACCGTTGACCCCAAATATCTCGAAAACGCCCCAACGGCGGACTGATTACCACTCGGCATCGTATTCTACACAAAATTTTACTCTTGAAAAGTTGTGTCTGGTTTTGTGCCCATTTGATGGACACCCCCCACACTGAGCCTGCGGTCTATTACACAGGCCACTGTATATTAATATCAGCTTGTTATGGACCGAGTTCTAGAAATATATGTCTGAAACACGCTGGAGGGTTTGGACATCGAAAACTGTAAATGTATCGTCATTATTTTCACCCAAACCATGTAGTCTAGCTCACGGAATAATACATTTGCAGAGACCGTAAAAAGAGCTCATCACCAAGCTATTGTGTGGCCTTCACTGGAAGATAGTAATTCATCGGAACTTGATCCGGGACTGTATTGCGTGAAGAAGGATCTCCGGAGTCTGCCATACACTCATCGGATGTGGATGCAAGAGTGACACCCCATGTAGTACGCTTGCTTGTAGCTGCAGTTGGGGTGGGCTTTGATGTACAGTATTTTGCACGTATGTGGTGTTATCGTATCGCTCATATGCTCCTATATCCCGAAATATATAGTTTATTTTGGCGAAATAATGGCTCTCAACGGCCGTTACGAGTTAATTATTTAATATATATAAAGGGCCATATTGTCTGGCATTTTGGATTTTACTACCATCTTATCACCCCACAACATAATGAACGATTTCAGTGTATTCCTTGACCTCAGAAACATACGGTTAGACACCAAAATTATCATCCTAGAATAAATACTATGGGGTCTATAGGGGATTAGGCCCTATTTGATGTGGCGGCCGTCTTGGACGCCATCTTGAATTTCTCAAAACGCCCGAAGGGTGACCGAGGCTACCCGGCAGATTCTGAAAGAGGACACCCTAGGCTACTCAAATCAATCGTAAAAAAAACCCAAAAAAAACCGCAGTCAAAAGGCTAGTAATAGTATATTTTGGTGTGCATTTATTAAAATTAAAGAGGTTTAGTGTCTTTTTTATCAGGGTCCAAGCAACTCCGCGTTCTACAGGCCCGGGCTAGGCCTGGCTCGGTCTGGATACGCTGACAGTGACGAAAGTTCAGGGCAGCTAGCTTATTACTATTAGAGTATAGTTTTTAATTCACCAATTGGACGGACAGAATCCAATTCTAATCCAGTACCCACTCCATTTAAGTATCCTCATTCAGAAATGTCAACGGTTTTCTTCTACTTTAGCTTAAGGATCAAGTAACACAGGCCCTACACAGGCGGTACCAGTCATCGTAGATGAAGAAGCAGGATTTATCACTCTGCTAGGCGAAGGCGTCACAAACTCATCTCAATGTACAAAATTATTAATCAACTAACCCCTCCATACCTCCACAATTTAATTCAGTTTTCCAATTAAACTCCTTATAATCTTCTTTCTTTTTCTTTTTTTAAAAACATTACTCGGCATACCCCCGGATTCTCTTTTACTTTACTCTACGTCTCTAGCCGAGTCTAGGCTAGGCTCCACATTCACTCATTCAGAAAAAAAATCACCGGTTTTCTTGTTTAACGATCAAGTAAGAGAGTACTTTTTTATTTTTATTTTTATTAATTGATGGAGTATTCCAATTCCCTCCCTCCCGAATATTCGTTTAAAAATTATAACTTCTAGTTTTCTACTTTTAATTTCTTCAGCCGTTTGGCGTATAGATGGCGCTGCGGCTTGTGTTTATGCTACCGGAAGCAGAAACCACCAGTCGGCTCTTGCGCAGAAATGGATTAAGCTGTACTCGCTAATATTAAAATAGTATTGATTCACGACTGTCATTTTACTAGTGTTTGAATACTTTCTACCTTCATCTACATGGCCTAGTAAAATTAATTCCAGTTTTTCCCGATTTCATAGTCTCCCCAGGACTAGTATTGAATGTGAAAAATGACGAAGGATCGTTTGGCGGCTTTGAAAGCGGTAGGTTTTACTCTCCCTGGCCCAAGTGATTGGGCCCAACCCACTCTCAAAACTGATAGTGTTTTATCGGACAGTGTTCTTGTAACACTTCATGATTCAATTACACGAATTTACATATAATCAGGCTCTTCAAAATGTGAAAAAAGTGTGATGGAAAGTGCCCAAATACTTACCAGAAGCCTTTGACCAAGACAACATCGTCTGCTTAATTTCTGAGCTCACCCTTTCGTAAATCAAATGATCTTTTTTGTCTCCGTAAGTCAGTGCATGTGTCTGTCAAATGTCAGTCATTAACTCACCCTGATGTGTCAGTCATACATAATCAATTAATATGTATCCCTTTCCATATTATTTTACACTACATACACTACTCTATTTTATTACCTATTGTCTTATGATATTATTTTTAAAGAGCCAATATCTATAAGGTGTTCAGCAATCTATTTCGGTGCAGTACGTTGATCCGGCTACTTAGGGTAAGGGTTAGTAGTGGAAGTCAAAAGTAGCCGGGTCAACGTAGTAGGGCTCTGTTTCACAGACTCCAGAGGTAATGCAAAAGTCTTCTTCTAACTCTTGTTTAAGATGACTGGTCTTTCTTTCCAAGTTTATATGCATTCTATGTCTGACGTCACATCACATAATGTCGATCATTGACTTCGGTAGCGTGTGCATTGTTTACAGAAGATGTAGTAAGGTAAACTGGTCTGGGCAGAATGGTGCCATTACTATTTTATGTACCCATTTACACTAAATAGGAAATATTTTTGTATTGAGATAGAATTTAATTTGCAGAAGAAAAAAGTTAATATTGTGAGCTAATTAACTCGCACTGATGTCATCCCTCTCAGTAATTGTGTACAGCTTCCTAGTGAATTTTCACTGCTGACCAATTTGAGTGTTAGGAAATAATTAGTAATAAGTAGCCAGTACCCATCTTTCACATAATAGTATGATCTGGCACTATAAAACATGCCAACGAAAGTCAAGATGACTAGGTTGGTTGCAACAATGAATTGTGAATGCCAGTACAGTTAAATGCGAAACTGACGTGTCTTTCTTTGTGTTGATAGTCATAGTACGGTATATATACTCTTCTGTATTGTATGTAAACTACAGCTTTGTAATTTTTACATTATGAACTTAATCACAGTTTCAGGTATTGTGGCCCTATTCCCAGGCAGTAGCCTAGATCTTATACCAGAAACATTTTCTTATTTTATCCATAATTATTTGTAACAGTATTGGTATATTATGTTTGATTTGTGAAAATAATCATGTCTTTAAGTAAGGTACATGAAGAACAAGCTCACTGTTTATATATTGTTTGTGACAAGTTTTATATAAAGTATCAATAAGCTCAGAAGTTGATATAATAGCATAGGAGATCTAGAGCAGTCTCAGTAGTAAGTTTTGTTAACATCTAGAGCTGCTCTGCTTGTTTAGTTGGATTAGTTGTGGACTGGGAGCCATGGTGTGCCTGACAAAGCCTGAATCTGTGCCTGACAATGTCTGTGACAGGTGCCTTATTTCCAGGCTCGCACATGCCCATAATTTTGATCTGTTTATGCTGAAAAACGCTGTCAGTAAGCACAAAAACATAGTAGCAGACAGAATACATGTCATTTGCAAGCTGTCAATCAAACCACGTGATGTAAACAATTAGCCATGTGGTGTGAATTGAGGCACAACGTACAGTTCATGACTAAGTGAATTTACAGGACGGCTCTGTGTACTAAACGTTAAAAAACCCCATAAATTCGTATTTATAATATCCTAATAAACAACCCATTTGATCAGATTTTTGGCCAAAGGACGACGCGTTAACACAATACAGCAGTAAACTTGTGCCAAATCTGTATGCCTAGTGAGCATGTTGAACCAACTAGATGTCACTTCCGGTGTAATAAAAATTTATTTCTCGCTTACAAAACTTTTTTACTTGTGTTACAGAGGGGATGATTTATCAATATATATTTAAGATTTATGGAAACCTTGTTGAAAATCGTTGGTCTTCCCCTTTAAGTCCAGAACCAAGTTGCTTGAGTGGGGGTCTGAGAGTGATTAAAGGCATAGTATAGTGTATTTAAATGAGATTTGAGACAGATTTGAACCATGTTGCTGTGTTTTCTTATAAAACAAATTGAGAAATTTCAAATTATAATTATGTAAACACAATTGGGTGCTTAGAGTTAGATCAACATTTTATTTGACTAGACCATATTACACTGTCATAATGATCTCCAACCGTGTGCTTGACAAACAGAAACTTTTTACTGCTCTCTCATTGGAAAGAATTACGCAAACCAATAAATGGTCAGAAGAATGACGGAAATGCTATTTAAGGCTTGATGTACCTCAGTTATAGCGCCTTAAAGGATGATAGTGTAGATCCAGGAATGTTCGGACACCCTCATATGGTTATTGTAATATTACTAAATACTTTGTCCATAGTTTTATGATTAGTTTTGTATGTATAAACGAAACTGCCCAACAAAATGCCCACTCCCTGTACAAAAATAGTGTAAAACTATGTAATACAAAGGTTGTGGACCCTTTTGATGAAACTTGAAATATATGTTTATATCTCAAAGATGTCCGTTCCTTCAGACCATAACTTATTGTATTATGGCCCTGATTGTACGAAAAATCTGGGGGGTTTTTGTAGCTTGTTTTCTATCCATCTCTTGAAAAATGTGAGCATATCTTGCATGGCAATCCCTGGTTTTAATTAGTTGTATGGTCTTGCAGTTTGGGGAGGTGGGTTCCTAGTAAGGGTGTTCTCACGACTGGAAATATCAGGGTTTTAAACTCGATCATGCAATAACATCATTTAAGGATCAGGTGTTACTGTTCAAAAATTGGGTGCTCAAGCAGAGTACCGAATATACTTCATAACTTAACAATACCTGTTAGCACAGTTGTATGCTTGCCTGATGTTTGCATGCAGAAATATAATAATTAGGCCTAACTTTACCTAAGTAAAGGGATTGGAGGGAGGGGTATTTCTTAAAGATACATTATGGGAGATTCGATAACGAGTTGGTAGTTCTCACTATAATAATTAAAAACTAGATAACGTAAAGGCAATTTGCTGAAAATTCCATTCAAATTGATCCACTATGAACCGAGAACTAAATGAATGAAATTTCTGCCTAGCCTCGGTCATCATTACTTAAGTCAGTACGAAAAACAGCATAGTCTTGATTATCCATATAATCGTTTAATCGAGAAGGAAAGTTATGCAGTAAATCGGCTTACAATCCACTTAAGATCGCAGGCTAGCGATGCCATCTAGAGTTGATTATGGTCTGGATAGATTTTGTTTCAAAATTATGTTTAATATTGTTGATACACATGGATGCTATCAATAATAATGTCTTACTGTCACCATTATTGTTAAAATTGTTTGACATGCTAACTAATGACGTCAGTTGACAGACTGTCGCCATTCAAGAGATGACCACCATCAGGATGATAGGTTGCATTATTTCTGTTGCGCCTTTCTTGAAAATCATTTTTATACGCCCACATTGAAATGGTCGCATATTGCTGCCGCCCCCGTCTGTACGGTTGCTCTAGAGCCTAAAGTTAATATCCAGTTGACTTTAAATTTACACAAAGTGTTTAGGGTCATGAGATTAAGAATCCTCTTGATTTTCAACAAGTTCCGATAATTACTGCCACAGTATGACCCTTGATCACTTTGAAAAATCTTGTGGACTCTCTAGAGGCTAAAGTTTATATTCAATTGACTTTAAAATTATACACAGTGTCTTCGATCTTAAGACGAAGAAGCCTATTTTTAACAATTTTCGATTATTACTGTCAATGGCCCTTGATCATTTTGGAAAATCTTGTAGTAAAGTTACTAACCAATATACTTTAAATTTATACACAGTGTTTACGATCATGAGACAAAGAAATTTATTGATTTTCAATAATCTTTTATACTTACTACCAGAGTTATGGCCCTTGATCACTTGCGAAATCTTGTTTACGAGCTAGAGGCTAAAGTTAATATAAATTTATACACAGTGTTTAAGGTCATGAGACAAACAATCGAAACAAATTAAAATGATTTCTGATAATGAACTAATGGGGTGTTACTCATTATCAGATTTTAGTGTGTTGTAAATGTTTCATTACTGACAAAAGAAAAAATATGCGACAACCCTTGTTAACTGCCCAGGCGACTTAGCTGATGTGGGCTTATGTTTTATTATTTAATAAACAGTGTTGATGAGATATAGATTAATTTAATAAATAATGATCAATAAAAAAACCCCAATAAATTAAGTATTTCATCAGAGTGATCTTACATGTATATTTCGACCCACGTATTAAAACAGACAAGACTTCTAAACTTGGGATGAGTGGTCTTCTATTAGGATGAGTAGTCTTCTATCTTGGGATGAGTTGTCTTCAATTGGGCCGAGTGGTCTTGGGATGAGTTGTCTTTGGGATGAGTTGTCATACATTCTTGGCAACCGATCTTTTATTTTATTTTGACTGAAGCGTTGTTACAGACTCAGGACTGTACAATGCAGTGAACACTAACAACTGGCCCCCGCATCCATTCGCCTGATTTTGAGTGAAGCCTTTTTACATCCTTGGGAATGTACAATGAATGTACTTACGACTGGTCCCCCCGGGTCCATTCACTTGATTTGATATCTTTTGTTTATTTCTGGCAGTGTCTTATGTAGTTTGTTTTGACTTCAGGTTTGTCTTGTCGATCGGTGTAGTGCAGTCTTTCTGCACTTACTGCTATATTAGTATGTAAATATGGATGTAAAAATACTTAGCAAATCATTGAAGTAGCTTGTTTCAAATTTTTATTGTTAATATTAATATATTTTGTAGTTTTATTTTTACCTAACATATATTACCTGTTTTAGGGACATGTAAGATTTTTGTTTCTTTTGAAACTACCATTGAATTGACTATTATAATAAACTGATTTTATTAACTGAGTTGGATAGAAATCTTTAGAGAAATAT